GTTCTGCTTGGCGCGCATCTTCTCGCGTTTCGCCTTCCACTCCTCCAGGAAGTCTGTGGTGCTGCCGCCGGTCCGGTAGCCACCGGTCGCCATATTCCCAGCGGGGTCGGCGGGGCTCCCAACTCAGGCCGCCCACCCGGCTCCGGCCGCTGCCGCCGCCGTCTCCTCTCCGCGGCCGGGAGGATGAGAGGGAACGACCTCTGGGCGCGGGGCGGCCGCCGCTCCCCCGGCAGCACAGGCAGGTCTAAGGGTGGAAACAAAAGGGGCAGGTAGGGGAAGCGTAAGGTCCTGGCCCCAGGGCCTGCCCCTCGGCCGCGCCCCTCGGAGCCCCCCCGCCCGGAGCGCGCCCAGTCGCCCCTGCTGGCGAGGAGCCGCCGTGTCCCCACCCTGCAAAGTTTCTCCGACTTACCTACGCGGCGGGCCCGGACGATCGCCGCCCCTCGAGGGGAGGAGAGAGGGGCTGACCCCACCCCCGTCCCCGCAAGGGTCCGAGCCCGCGGCAGTCAGGGTTCTAGCGCCGGACCCCGCCACCTGTCGGCCCGTCCTAACGCCCTCTACTTGCTCCGGCCACCGCCGGCCCGAAGTCCCCGCCACCGACGCCTCTGTCCCCAGCGCGACCCGCAGAGCCCTAGCCGGCTTGTGGAGGATGCGGGGACCAGCTGTCCGGCCGAGGCGGGAGGGGACGGGTGCCCGGGCAGCCCCTTACCTCGGAGGAGTTTTGTGGGATGAGGCGCGGGGCTGGGAGGGGGCGCCCAGGTGAGCCGAAGCTGCCGCGCGCCAGAAGCCGCGGCAAACTGGCGGTCCGGAGCTCGCGGCAGTCCCGGGATAGAAGGGAGGGAAAAGGGAGGGAAGGAGCGAGGAGGGAGGGGAGCCGAGCGGTGCCGAAGCACCGGCGGAAAGGGCCGAGGCGGAGCGCTCGGGGCGCGACGCGCGGTGGGGGAGTCGTGGCCAGATACAGTACTTCAATACATGAGAAGATCGTCTTAGCAAAGACCATTGTGGGTTGCTACAACATCCCTATTGTCCTGAATAGCACTCAGGAAAAAAAGCTGTGTGTGTTGGGGTGCACAA